TTAAATTTTATTAATTTTTGAGAGAGAGATAGAGACAGCATGAGCAGGGGAGGGTCAGAGAGAGAGGGAGACACAGAATCCGAAGCAGACTGCAGGCCCTGAGCTAGCTGTCATCACAGAGCCTGATGCGGGGCTCGAACCCGCGAACCGTGAGATCATGACCTGAGCCGAAATCGGATGCTTAACCGACTGAGCCACCCAGGCGCCCCTGGAAATCCTTAATTTTTAAGCGAGAGGCTCTGTGTTTTAGTTTTGTATTGAGCTTCGCAAGCTTTATAGTTGGATCTATCTAGGAGCTTGCCCTGGTTCTCAAAACTTCTATGGAGGAAGCCCTTGGTTTGAATCTCAGCCTTGCCCAATGAACTGTGTGGCGTTGAGAATGTCATGTGCTCTGACCTTGTTTCTTCATCTGTGAATTGGGGGTGTGTGCTAATCTTTACCCATAAAGTACAAATGCTGTGATGTGGGGGGAGGGGGCAGTGCTTACTTAATTATAGACAGTTACGGTACTTCTGTTAGTCCTTAGTCCACGGGTCAGGAGTGTAGCTTTAGAAGACTCCGGGAAACATTTTCTCCCCAGAGGAAGGAAAAAACATTATACCACTGGGAATTGGGAAAGAGTTGTCAAAAGCACATGACATCCAGCAGACATCAAACACTCAAATGGTGAAATGTGGCCCTCTTCTGTGACTGTGCGAAAATTAGAAATTTTTATGGCATTAAAGCAAATGTTCACATGATATATAGCCTACAGACCAATTCTAGACCTTCACTGGGTTTCACATAGCCCACCAGTGAAGAATGGTTTTTACATTCATTAAAAATTTTTTTAATACTTCTTTATTTTTGAGAGAGAGTGTGTGAGCAGGGGAGAGACAGAGAGAGGGGGAGAGACAGAGAGAGGGAGACCCAGAATCTGAAGCAGCCTCTAGGCTCTAAGCTGTCAGCACAGACCCTGATGTGGGGCTCAAACCCATGAACCATGCGATCATGACTTGAGCGGACATCAGATGATTAACTGACTGAGCCACCCAGGCACCCTGGTTTTTACGTTCTTAAATGGTTAGAAAAATTCAAAAGAAGAATGTTATTTTGTGACTTGTGAAAATTATATGCAATTCAATGTCAGTAAATAGTTTTTTTTATTGAATACAACTCTGCTCATTCTTTTTGTATATATGGCTGCCTTTTTTTTTTTTTAACATTTGTGTTTAAGTTTCTTTGTTTTATTGAGAGTGATTGGGGGAGGGGCAGAAAGAGGGAGAGGGAGAGAATCCCAACCAAGCAGGCTGTACACTGTCATTGGGGTTCAATTCCATGGACTTTGAGATTGTGAACTGAGCTGGTCGAGAGTTTGATGCCTAACTGACTGAGCCATACAGGCACCCCTGCTTCTCTGTTATGGTGTTGCTTCATTGTTGTGACCAAGACCTGGTGGCCCACTGAAGTGGCAGAATTCTTGGATAGTTTCCAAGATCCCTGGCCTGTGGCACGCATGCCCTGTGTAATCCCTATCCCTGGGGTGGAACTACTGAGTAGGATGGACTTTGCTCCCATGGTTAGGTCACATTAGTGAGAGGCATCTTGAGCTGAAGCAGGAATTTGGGAAAAGGCACGCAGGCTCGCTCAGTGTTCTTCTCAGAGGGATTGAAGAAGAGCTGTACCACCAAACCATTTCCCTCAACCAGAACTTCCTTTCAAGATCAAGGTTGCCTTCCAAGATCATTGTCATGACAACCTGGTATAATTAGTAAGAATGTAGACTGAGCTAGTTGAGGTTCAAGGCTTCCCTTTGCCTCCTGTGATTTCTGTGATCTCAGGCTAGTTTTTAAATCTTTATGCCTCAGTTTCCTTATCTATACGATGGGAGATAATGATCATATGTATCTCCTGGGATGCTTGGAGTAATTAAATGAGCTAATGTTAGTGAACCGTTAGAGTGGTGCCTGGCCTATGTAGTTCAGCACCTGACGGGGAGTCCTGGTTGTCATTATTACCACTCACATCGACTTGGGGATTGTGTCTGCCCAGTAGCCTTGTGTTTGCATCTCTTTGACTTTACATCATGATTACCTGGCTCTGCTGGCGTTGTGTCCACCACCCCTGCTCGAACCCTGTTCATAGTTTAACCCTGAGAAGGCTGCTTTCTTTCTGGGTCTGCTGCCAGTACTCTCATGTCCCCTCTAATGGCTCGTTGGAATCGACATGTCTCACCTTTTTCCTTCGTTTGGTGGCCTCATGGTTTCTCCTGGGTTCATCCTTTGACTTGCCTTCATTCTCTGGTTTCAGACTTGCCCTCTATACTGAGCCTTCATAGGGCCAAGGTAAATGCTCTTAAAGGGTCTGGCTTAAGGTTGAGCCGCAGATCCCTCCTCTGCTCCAACGCCCTTATTCTGACCCCTGAGGGAAGCCAGTGGAAGATACCCCAGAGCTCCCTGTGGGGTCTCAGCCTGGCTTCTCTACATGAGTTCAGGTCCATTTTAAAGGCATTCATCCATTCATTGAACAATCAAGTCAAACAGAGACTATGGTCTAGGTGCTGAGTGAAGAGATATGTGGCATGCCCCTGCTTTCATGGAGCTCTGGGGCTTGGAGTCAGAGGGGCACAGTCCTGTGGTCTTATGTCCCCCTTTCCCCAGGTCCCCAGTGCTGGATGTACCCACAGAGCACCCTGAGGGGGATATTTGAGTGTTAGCTGTACACTTGTCAGGGCATGGCGTGTTTCAGTGTTCTCGGGGCACATCATTGGTTGATCATGCTCACGTTTGTCATTCAAAGTTAAGAGCTTGGCTGGAAGTGGTACCAGCCCTGTAGAGCAAGGGAGGGCAAATTTCTTTCTTTGAATGTTTTCTTTTCAGTTTTCTCTCTTCACTAGTTCCACCACTGGATGTTGTAGGCATAACTTTTTGCCCCCCTCTGGAAGCAGCAGGGTGGAACTTGGATTCTGTGAACATACACCATGTTCTAAGAGGGGCAGGGTTAGAGCAATGGGAAGTACTCGGGCTTTGGTACCGTTACAACTTGAGACTGATGTCTTGACTCTGTTACTTCATGTAAGTGAGTTTACTTCTCTTGCCTGTAGAATGGGTACAATCAAAATGGTAGTTCCTGTAGTGACGGCTACCCCTTTAGTGGCCAATAAAAGGAGATGTTAGTATTGTTACTGTTTTATGCGAGGTCATTCTTTCTCCCTGAGATTCCTAGCTGGGCACATCCCTTAGTAACTCTGAGGACAAGTTTTCATGTGTCAAATGGGGAAAGCAATGCTTCTTTCTTAGAGGAGGGTGTGGCAGACTGCAGCCCCTTGGTTAAGATCTGGCCCATCACCTTCTTTTGTGAATAAAGTTTTATTGGAACACAGCTAGCCACAGCCCTTTGTTTCTGTATTGTCTACAGCTGTTTTTACATTACAGCAGCAGAGTTGAGTAGTTGTGGCAGAGACTAGATGCCTGCAAAATTGAAAATTTTTAGCATTGGGCCCTTTACAGAGTTTGTCATCCCCCGTCTTAATGAGGGTAATTGGACTTCCATTTGTACACACTCATCTATAAATACATACTTACACAGCTCAAGTGCAGTGCCTGGCATATAGCGGAAGCTCAGGAAATCTTTAGTTCCTCTTCTGAACTTAATTCTGTTGAAGAAAATACAGGATTCATATCTGAGAAATGCAGAGGCAGACACATTTATATTTTTATTGAATTCTCTTCCTTTCTCATTTTCAAAAGAAGAGCTCATGTTTAAAAAAAATTCTGATTGGCACTATAAACTTTATTTATGCTTTAATGTATCCTAAAGTATGTATCCTGCACTATTTTGACTTCCCTTACAGATGCTGATATGCTATACGTTACCAAACCCAAATGGATTTCCACAATCCAATTTCGTTGCTACAGTTTTCCATTTCTCTGTTGACTTTTTATGCTTGACTCACGTCAGCGCATCTGGGGCCTTTGCCACTTTTTGACCTCCACCTGTGCAGGGAAGCAGCTCCTCCAGCCGCATGCAGGGAGGTAGGACTGGGTCCTTTGCCTGCAGATGCACTGCCCCCTGTCCTCTGCTAGTTATTGGGTCTTCTCCAAATCAGGACCGTGTGCTCTGGACGTGTGCTGATCCCCATTCCTGGTGCGCGTTTTTGTTTTCCCCCCATAATGATTGTGGTCGGGTTGACATCAGTTAAAGGGGTTTGCCTGTTTAAAACTGAATGAGGGGCGCTTCCAAATGAGAGCCATTCAGGAGTCTCTCCAGTTATTAGTCTTTCCTAAGTCGCCAGCCACAAACACCTGCAGAGGTGGCCAGAGCCTTTTCTGTCAGGCATTAGGGACCTAAGGAATTGCATCAGGAAAGTCAACAATTTTTGAGATAGTAGGAGGAACAGCAGTGAGACTCAGGATTATCACGGGTTTGAATATTTCATGCTGTGGGTCCAGGAGCAACTGCTCTGTCCTTTCTTCTCCTCCCCTTGGCGGCTCTGAGTAGCCAGGCCCTGGCTGGCAGCAGGACTCAGCATCTTGGTGGCTCCTGAGAGTTGCTAGTTCTTTCTGTGTCTCTGGAATCCTTACCCTTCATCACTGCAGGGCTCCCTAGTGATCTGTCACGTACACCACAAAACGAAGGCCGAGACCAGGAAGAGAGGTGAGCTGGGGGGTGGGGGGGTGGGGGGCTGCACCCAGCGGCAGCGTGGGTTGCTGTCAGGATGTATAATCCTGCCCTCGTAACTACTCTTCCTCAATCTGTTGGTTGGTTGAGAGGAAGAAAATTCAGGGAGGATGGCTTAAAGAAAATACTTACTAAGTGTTTTGCTCTCAAATAGCCTTTAACACTTGTGTCTGGGTCAAGCCAGACTAATGTGGGGAGCAGAACTCTAGACTGAATTCTATTGAGCCCCAGTGAGTCGCTTTCCCCTGATTATATTTTGGGTGATGCTGTCAGTTTATGTGGAGAATGAGAAACAGTCTCATGTAATTGGCCATGTGATCCTTGTGTGGGTGTTTTTTCAGATAGAGTTCATGATGGGGTCGGGGGTTTCTGTTACCAGTGGCCCTGTGGAGACATTCTCGGGTGAGCTAAGCACCTGGGATGGCTGTAATTTTCCTGTGCAAGTGGCTTTTATTGTAGGAACACAGAATGTCCAGTGTCTGAACAGATTTTCCTTTTTCTAGTGGCCATTGGAAGCTCAGAGCCAAACACCAAACTCCCTCTCAGTAGGCGGGCATGTCGGAAGCTGCTCTTCTTTATTTCCCGTCCTCAGTTGTTTTTTTGCCCTCCTGCCTCATGTGCTGTATTTCCTGCTTCCATGTTGATGAAGCCACAGTGGGTTTGTGAGTGGTAGTGGTCGAGTTTGGAGAGGGTGGTTCAGGGCTCGGTTAAGGCAGCCTCCTTTGAATGGGCTCTTTGAGCTTCAGCACTTCTCCGTGAAGGTGTGTTTTGCGTTTTTGCATCTTGAGTGTGTTTGTGAGGCTGCCTTTCCCTGCACTCTGCAAATTGAGTGGAAGAATTTTTTTTATTGGTTCTGTGCCTGTGCACAGACACATTAAAAAAACAATTCGTTAAACTTTGTTTCTAAAATAAGCAAGGGAATGCATTCTAATGGGAGAGACCCAACCACCTTGGAAGCCCTTTTTCTGATCCTCTCTTGTAACCTTAGAAGTGAAAGGCTTGGTCCTTGGTTTTGGGGGAATACATTCTCTCTAGTCCATTAGAACAAGCATGGGTTGTGTGGTTAGGTCACCACAGAATTAATCTTGGCTCTAACACTCTCTTCTCTGTGAGCTGAGAAGGTTGCTTAGCCCCTCAATGCATTAATTACCTTGTACTTACAATAAGGATAAAAATCTACCTCACCAAATTTCAAGCATTAAGTGAAAGCAAATGAGCAAAATTAAGCAGTCAGTGTGTAGTATGTTGCCTGGCATGGAGCAAATTCTCAAAGGAGCATGCTGCTTACATTCGTCGGGGTGTGAAAGGTTCTGCTATCGTCATAGTTAACCCCTAAGGTGTCAGTAGTATAAGACAAGTTGGTATTTTGCTCTTGGAGAGTTTGTGCTGCGCTTATGATCAGGTGATTGGTTGACTCTCTTCCAGTGAGTGTCTCAGGGTTCTAGACCTCTTTTTCCCCTGGATGCTACTGCTTTCACCTGTGGTTTTGGAGTTCCTCACCGCAGGGGCAGGTCAGGAGGATTCCTTGTAAGAGGTCATTTTCATGGGCCATTCATGCAAATGGTGGGATATCCCTTTGTTACCCATTTCTAGGGCTTTCTACGGATCTTCCCCAGATGCAAGTGGCCTGGAGACACAGTGCTCTTGTGTGCACAAGAGACAAGACCTGAACAATTTGCCAGGCACGTAGCATGGCCTTGGCCACTCTTTCCTTCTCTCACACTGGAGGCTGATGTCTATGTAGGATGCTATGTCAGATTTCCAGTGGACACTTGAGGTGCTACAGGTGTCTCTTGTTTATCCATTCGAGCAGGTAAGGATCTGTTGTCCATGGCATTGACCTGATTCCTTTGTCTCCCTCAGGCTTGGCTCCTGGCAGGTGATGGTGTGGTGATGTAGACAAAGGAGGTTGGTGCGCCTGAGAGCAGTGGAAGTGCTGCCGTCACTTTTAAATTGTAAATATAGGGGCTCCTGGGTTGCTCCGTAGGATGAGTCCATCTCTGGGTTTGGGCCCAGGTCATGACCTCACGGTTCTATGAGTTCGAGCCCCACATTGGGCTCTGTGTTGGTGGCACAGAGCCTGCTTGGGATTCTCTCTCTCCCTGTCTCTGCCCCTCTCCACCTTGTGTGTTCTCTTGCTTTCTTTCTCTGTCTCTCCCAAAGTAAAAAACAATTGTAAATGTAGTGTATTGTGTTCTCATGTCTGGGACATTCACACTCTGTTCTGGTTTGGGAAGCTCATAGAAGAACTGATTTGAGGGTGCCTGGGTGGAGCAGTTGGTGAAGCATCTGACTTTTGATTTCGGCTCATGTGATATTGATCTCTGTTTGTGGGATCAAGCCCTGCATTGGGCTCTGTGCTGATGGCACAGAAAATGCTTAGGATTCTTTCTCCCTCTCTCTCTCTCAAATAAATGAACATTTTTTAAAAAATTAAAGTGATTCAGGAGCATCACTTGGAATTTGTTAGGCAGTGTGGGGAAGGAGCTTTCTAGGTGGAGGGGCAAGTGTGAGATCTGGAAGAGCAGGTTGAGGGTGTTGGAGATTCTGTGCTCACTGTTAGTGTTACTGGAACAAAGCTTTGTCTGTGTCAGGTGTTCTCTTAGTGTTACTGATTCATTGACTCAACAGATATTTAAGCCCCTACTATGTGCCAGAGCTGTTCATAGCCTTCCTGAAGCTCACTGTCTAGTGGAAGCTGGTTGATTGCCTCTCTCCTTGCCTTTCAAGGGCCTGCTGACTTCTCCACTGTGTCTGGAGTGAAGTGCCCTCTCCTACCCTTTCATCTCCTGGCCTCCTGTCCTTTCCTATTGTCCCTTGTCAGTACACACTGGTCATCAACCTTCTTAGGTCCCTGAACTACGAGCAGAATGTGGCCGCCATATGTGGCCAGTTTTCCCTGAGGAGCTGGGTGTAGTGGAGGGGCATTGTAGCACAGGACAGGGAACTGTTGCCGGGACGAGTGGGAAGGGTTCCTGGACCCCACGCTGGGAGTCTGTCACCCACCTCACCTGCAGCCTTTGTGGCACGATGCTGAAATGCATGTGGGTTATTCATTCACTTGTTTACCATCGGTCTGTCTTGTGGAAGAGTGATAGCAGGACCCTTGTATAAACCGCTGTACAGCCAGGGCCTAGGACTCTGTTGGATCTGCATTAACAGCTCAGTTCGACAGTTGTTGAATTGAAGAATGAATGAATGGAGTCAGACTTATTTCCTACTGAGGCATCAGCCAGTTTCCATGACAGGAAATTTCTTACTGGCTGTCACCTTCTGTAGCTTTCTGCTTTCCATTGTTTCTTGAACCGCTCTCTCCCTCTCCTTTACTTTGTAATCGAGGTATCCATGTAAGACCTCCCAAATTCCCATTACTTTTTAGTGCAGGTTGTTGTTAATACTCTTGACTCAAACCCAAAGGCCTCTACTACCAAAGTAGATCCAGGCCTCCCTTGCTCAGGTGAGACTCCAAATTGGGGTACTAGGAGTCAGTACTTCTGGATTATCATTTACCATTCACACAAGAAAGGAAAGTGGAGAAAGCCTTGTGTCATAGTTTTTTTGTTGTTGTTTGTTTTCTTAAGCCATGTTGTGATGGTCTTCCGTATCCTAGGTATCAACAGGACTTCTAGTCCACTGAACAGAGCACAGCCCAGGCCTGGGGTGCAGACAAGGGCTTTTGTCCTTGGCAGCTGGTGGGGATGATGGTGTGATACTAGGGAAGGCTGCAGACCTGGGCTGGGGCCAGCAAGGGATGGCTTCTGTACATGGATCTGAGCCATGTTTGCATGTGTGATGGGGGAACAGGGCGTATAAGGGAGGGAGATGGTGATATGATGAGACCTGAGCATCAAGGAGATGAGGGCCAGTCACAAAGCTGGACTGGTTAGGAGGGTGGGTCTGGGAGACCATCAGGAGGCTGCTGTAGAATGCACTGTCCTGCACCACCTCTGCCCTGCTGGCTCACCTGCATGGCCTCCCTCCTATTCTTGATTCACAGATGTGCTGAATCCTCCAAAGCCCTGATCAGTCCTCCTTCTGGATGCTCCTGTTTCTCCAGACCAGAATTTCCTCCTTGGAGCCCTGGTTCTGTAGCCCACATCTTTGTTCGCATCCCCTGGAGGGGACCTACTGCTCATGGTGTATACTCAGTAAATCCTTTCAGAATTGAATTGTTAGAACTTACTGTAAAATGGTAGTTTAAACTTTAAACACTACCAACGTCCACTTTACTGTCTTCCTGGTGCACGATTGTCTGATTCTCCACAAGTTGGATTTTTATGCCATGAAATGTGATTTTTCACTAACTACTTTTATTAGAGAAGTAGACTCATATGGAGCATTTATTCTGTGCCAATTACTTTTTGTGTGTTACCCCCATTTCATCCTCATGCTGTTTTGGTCCGGTGGCTCTTTGCCTCTATGCTACAGGTGGGAAAGCCAGGCTGCAGATGGGGAAGCGGCTGGCCGGGGCAGCCCAGGTTTGCGAGGCGGAGCTGTGTGTGGCTGGCCTGGGCAGACTCTGGAGCTGGTGTTCTCTCTGCTACCCCCAGTGTGTGTCCCTGTTGTAGGAAGCCGTTGCAGAGGCATGCCCTGGCATTCATTTCTCCTATTCACAATGAGGTGTTACTGTTTACTTTCTTGGGGAGGAAGATTGAAATCAATGTAACTAGCCTTATTAATAACTTTTTTAAATGGGCGGGGGGGCTGCAAATGCCAGCACCTTTCTGGGAGAACCAAAGCAAACATAAAAATCTAATTTGCTTTCCTGTTTTTTTTTTTTAATCTTCTCCTGAGTTTAACATTTGAAGCTGTAAATGAAGAGCTGATGAGACAGGGGTAAGGAGCCAAGCTCAGACACCAGGAGGTATTTATTCCTATCTTTTTTTTGTCTGCAGGTGGCTGTTCCTTTGATGAACACTACAGCAACTGTGGTTATAGCGTGGCCCTGGGGACCAACGGGTTTACCTGGGAGCAGATTAACACGTGGGAGAAACCAATGCTGGACCCTGCGGTGCCCACAGGTATGTGACCCTCTGTGCTTGAGGCTGGGATGAGGATCACTAACTTTTAGGATGACTTGTGAGGACAAACGCATGGGTTGAGTGGAAAGGGCAATAGACCATTTCGTTGGTAGTAAGTTCCTCATCTCCAGGGGACTCAAACCAAGGCCGAGTGAATTCTTAAGGTATGTGGTAAGAGTCACACAGCACCTTGATTCAGGAACCTTTGGGATTTCTTTCAGCTTTAAGATTCTAAGCTTTAGCTGCAAGTAGGGCATCCTTGGGTTTTGTTGGGGAATCTACTAGTAGTTGGATTGGGGGTGGAGAAGAAAGACATTCTGAAGAATGATGTCTTTCCTTTTCTTCCAGGACACATAGACACATAGCTTGTATATCTCTAGGGATAAACTTCCACAGTCAGAATATTACTCAGAGTTCATGTCCTGACATCCGGAATGCCCAGCTTATCCTTAACCAGTGGGGCACAAGGACTAAGCTTGAGGCAGGCCTGGGAGGGGGACATCTGAAGTGTTCTAGTGGAGGTTCATCTGGAGGAGGAATACTCAGGGAGAACACATACAGGATGGGCTGTGCCTGGGTGAGTTGAATCTTGACAAGGTTTACCTGGGGACCTACGCCAGGAAGAGCTGCAACTCTGGGAACATTAGAATCACCTCTTTGGATATGTGATCCCAGGTACAGCAGTAAAAGCATGTGGATGTTGGAGAGGGAGCATCGTATTCAGTGGTTCCTCCCTGTGTAACCCACATACTGCCTTGTTCTTTGACCACACATCTCCTGGCACTCTTCTTCACTCTGGCAATTTAATACCGGGGGTCTCAGGCTTGTTCTACCCTGCTTCTGTGTGTGTTAGTCAGGTTCTCCAGAGAAACAGAGTCAATAGGATATATAGAGATACATTTAAGAGATTTGGTATGAGAATTGGCTCACGCTGTATGGAGGCTGAGAAGTCCCATCATCTGACATCTGCAGAACCAGGAAAACCAGTGTGTAATTTTGTCCAGATCTGAAGGCCCGAGAATACAGGGCTGATGGTATAAATCCTGATCTGAGTTTGAAACCCTGAGAACCAGGAACACCAGTATCTGAGGGCAGGAGAAGATGGACACCTGTAGCTCAGGTAGAGAGAGCTACCTTTTCACTTTTTGTTCTCTTTGGGGCCGCAAGGGAGTGGGTGATGCCCCCCACATTGGTGAGGGCTATCTGCTTTATTCCGTTCACCAGTTCAAATGCTCATCCATTCTAGAAATACCCTCATAGTCACTCCCTTTGGCAGCTTTTTGGGTATCTCATAGCCCTGTCAGGTTGACACACAAAATTAACCATCACATTGTCTATGGCCTTCACCACTTCTATGCCTTCAGTTGCCATCAGACATCTCATATGTACTCTAGACCACTTGCTACCAGGCTGCCATGTCTTTTTGGCTTCCTCTGGGGAGAGGAGTTTAACAGGATGCACTAAGATGCTTAGATCTGTCCAGGTAAGGATGTGGCCTCTGTGGCCTCATGGACTTGGAGTTTGGCGCTAAAGCAGGAGACTGCTGGATGGTTCTGTATAGTTCCAATTAAAGGCACAAATGGTCATGTAAGTTTTCTATAAGTATAGATACCCGCCCCTGGTATAATAAATCTGTGCTATGGTACAAAATTGAACTTTGCATCTCTAGTAGGACCTTACTTTGCATGAGCAATCTCCAGCAAGTACACATGCCCATTAGTGAGGGGACTGTGGCACAGCCTGTATGCATGTTGTCCCATCATAGTTTTAAACACTGGTGACTTTATTCTCAAAAGTGTCTTGGTTTAGATGATAGAATCACTCATTCTGTCAGAGTATGGAGTACTTTGCTGAAACATACCACATCTCCTCTGTTTTACCTGACCATCTTTGATGTTGGCCAAATACATCCAGACCTTCTAGTATACGTATGTGTTTGTATCCAAAAACATCTAGCCCTGTAGGGTCTTGTAGACTCTCCAAAATCAACATCTCTGAAACTGAACTCTTGGTAGATCTTTCCCCCTCCCTCCATGTACCACTCTCCATGGAACGTTTTCCTCCACTTTATTGTCTTGTACTTCCCTTTGTAGCTCAGCTCAAACATCACTTCCTTAGGGTAGCACTTCCTAGATACTTCAGCCTTGGTCAGTTATCTCTGTAAATGTTTCCCATCATGTCCTGTGCTTTTTCTCAGCGATGCATGTCACTGTGGATGTTGTTTGTTGGGTGTATGCTATACCCTCAGATGAGGAGTTCCACATGCATAAGGACCATGATACTCTTGTTTATAGCCTTATCTCAGTGCTTAATACAGTGCATCACACATGGTGTGCACTAAATAATGGTTTGTTGGATAGATTCATGAATGGATGGCCAAAGTCTTCACCAAGTGTATTTTATTTTTTATTAAAAAATTGTTTGCTTTCTTTATCTTTTATTTTTTTTAATGTTTATTTTTGAGAGAGACTGAGTGTGAGTTGGGGAGAGGCAGAGAGAGAGGGAGATGCGAAATCCTAATCAGGTTCCAAGCTCCAAGCTGTCCGCACAGAGTCCGATGCGGGTCTCAAACCCATGAACCATAAGATCATGACCTGAGCTGAAATCAGATGCTTAACCAACTAAGCTATTTAGGCACCCTTATGTTTCTTTTTTTTCCCAACTGAAGTAGAGTTGGCATACGATGTTACATTAGTTTCAGGTGTAGTATAGGTGATTCAGCACGTCTGTTCTGCTGTGCTCACTCCAAGTGTAGCTACCATCTGTCCCCATACAATGCTTTTCACTCTATTTTTGGTGCTGCACCTTCTCATGACCTCCTCATTACATAACTGGAAGCCTGTATCTCCCACTCTGCTTCTCTATTTTGCCCATCCCTGTATTCCCCTTCTCTCTGGCAACCGCTAAAATGTTCTCTATTTATGGGTCTGATTCTGCTTTTTGTCTGTTTATTTGTTTTTTAGATGCCATATATAAGTGAAATCATAGGGTATTTGCCTTTCTCTGACTTATTTCTTTTTTTTTTTTATTTTTAATTTTTTTTTAATGTTTTTTATTTATTTCTAGGAGAGCGAGAGAGAGACAGCGTGAGCAGGGGAGGGTCAGAGAGAGGGAGTCACAGACTGAAACAGGCTCCAGGCTCTGAGCTGGCTGTCAGCACAGAGCCCGACGTGGGGCTTGAACCCACGAACCGCGAGATCATGACCTAAGCGAAAGTCGGATGCTTAACCGACTAAGCCACCCAGGCGCCCCTCTCTGACTTATTTCAAGTGTTTTTTAAATACAGAAATGAATGATCAACATCTTCAAATCCCTTTGGGCCTTCTATGAACTGACCATGCATTTTTAATCTCTCCTGTATTCCTTCCATTTTACAGATCAGGAAACCAAGTTTCCAAGAAACTGGGTGGCATGGTTCCTTCGCCAACCATGCCAGTCTCTCTTCCCAAAGGAATAACTCTTGCTTCTAATCTTAATTTTCTCAGCCCCTCATTACGGCAGTATGTCATTTCATAAATATTGGATTGTGCTAATACAATCTTCTGAGCTTTTCTAAATAGAGGCATTTGATAATGATCACCAAAATTATTCTGTCATGATGCGCCTGTGGATTTCAGCGGCTCTGTGTGCTTCTTAGGCAGAGAGGCATGAAAGTGAATTTGGATTAGGCAAAATTGTTTGTTCTTCTCATGGGCCAAAACTGAAATCTTTCTTTTCCTTCTGTAAAACCGGCACTTTCCATCCTTTGGAAGGCTAGTTCAAGTCTGTTTATTCAGATGTTCCACACCCTTTGACTGATCTCCTTCTGTGTGACAAGCTCTGTGCTGGACTACGGGTAAATGACACTGTGTCATTTTGGCACTTAGTCCCTCTACTGGCTTCTCCTGGCACATGGGAAGAAATCTGAACTCCTTGCTACAGCCTGTGAGGTTCTGCATGATCTCGTGTCTTCTCCAAGCCCCTTTTCTTTTCAGAAAGCTCCAGACACACTGGCTCCTTTAGTGACTTGGAGACTGAAAGGCTGTCAGATTCTTTCCCGGCTCCAGACATTTGCACATGCTGTTCCCACTCACTGTAATGGTTTTCTCCACTCCTTGTGTGGCCAGTTTCCTCAGGTGTCCACTCAGATGACTCCTTCTCAGAGAGATTGCCCCTCATCAGTCTAGGTAAAGAAAGAGTCCCTGCTTGCTTTTCCCGTGCCATCTGTTCTTGACTTTCAGAGTTCTTATCATAAACATACTTCTAGGCCAACTTGGGCCAATCCTATGCGATAGCTCAGTGACTTTGGACCCTTAATCCCTCTGCCTGTTTCCTCTTCTTTAGCATGGGAACCAGTGTGAGAGTTAAAGGCAATGATGACTGAGTGAGTGTGAAGTGTTTGCACATAGTAAGACTTAGTGCCGGTTGCTCTTTGCTCTTTTTTATTTTATTTTTTTAATGTATGTTTATTTTTGAGAGATAGCAAGAAAGTAGAGGAAGGGGGGGAGGGAGGGAAGGAGGGAGAGAGTCAGAATCCCAAGTAGGCTCTGCATTGTCAGCACAGAGCCCATTGTGGAGCTTGAACTCATGAGCACTGAGATCATGATCTGAGCCAAAGTCAAGACCCTTAACTGACTGGGCCACCCAGGTGCCCAACTCTTTTCTGGTTCTTAACAATCTCTGGAGCTGTAAGTCTAAGTTCTTCTTAGAACCTTGTCCCTTCCTTCCAGCTCTCCTGACCTAGATGCTCCTTTACCCAGGTGTTTGACTCTGTAGGTAGCCTGTGTGGATCCCTGAGAGACCCAGAGAGGCTTTTCAATACCCAGGGTACTTGGCTGCCCTGCAGGCTTGCATACCTCCTCTATTCAAGCTCTGTGAATTTAGTGCCCCCCATGATCACTATCATAGGCTTGTCCTCATCCTTTTCCATGGGAAAAGCCCTTGGGCTGGCATTCCAGGCTTCAGACGTCCGACCTCATCTTTATTGGGGCTGTCACAGAGGAATGGGGATACTACACCCA